TATATATATATATATATATATATATATATATATATATATATATATATATATATATATATATATATATATAAACTGTAAAACTGTTCTTAGAATCTCCTTTAGTAACTCTGTCCGTGTGTATTGACAGGAATAAATGCCCTTTGAAGCTAATAAATCCCTGAAGAGAAGAGTACGTAGGTTTCTTGCAATCATGCAATCTGATGTTTTGTAGGCTACATTTCAATTGGCCTGTTGCGATCTGCTAATCTTTTGTCTCCGCCAGTGCATGTGTTCTTCCTCCATTACAGTGGAAACGAAGTGATTTCTCTTGGCAGCAGATAGAAGTGTCCTTCACTGGAATTGTTTGCTGTGAACCATGGAATCATCATATCAAATGGCAACATCTAGTTTCTTCTTTCTTTTCTTCTTCTTCCAGGTTATCATCCAGATCAAATGGGAATTGCTGCAGCAACCACCGAGCCAAGCGTGAGCAACTAGATGGCTTGAATGATAGAAGAAAACTGGCATTTCTGTGTGCCATATATAGATGCTGTCTTGAGCATCGAGAGTGGGCAAACATTCTGCTTATTGCTCTCAGGTAGCAAAACCTTTTTCATGAACTGCTGCTATAAAGATCTCCGGTGAAGAATCAACCATGTCTGCGTGAGTTGGAAGAGAGAATATTATTTGAAGTATTTCTTATTTCAACATAATTTCTCTCACCATTATCTAGATAAGATCTTTTCAGGTATAGTTCACCTGAATTAGTTTTGCATATGTCACTCTTGACGTGGGCAAATCTCCTTCATCTCCGTTGGAGATAATGTTTTCAAGGGTGATGAACCAATCCCCTTGGAGATTTCATTCTCAAGACAAACTCTTTCCCCTAGAAGATATGATTCTCAAGACACGAACTCATTCCCTTTGAAGATAGGTTTCTCAAGACGTGATGAACTTTATGTACCAAGTCGCCTTGACTCAATTATGCGTATCAATAATATATAGATATATTATATATACAATCAAGCTAGTACCGGGCTATCATCTGATATACAACCAAAGTGGTCTATCAGGAAGCTTAATTGCTGAATTATTAAGTTATATTTTAGAAACAGTTACTATACCTAGAGAGTTAAAAAGGGAACGTACCGAGGAAAGAATCATATCATGGAATTATTTCTCCTAGAATCTACATAGTAACAAAAGGGATTAATGACGAGCAAATGATTAACTGTCATCACTTCGGACGAACAAGAATAACAGAACAATGGTAGATTATTGGACCTGTAAATGAATACCTTAGCTCGGTCAGAATGACCATCCATTAGGTCAGCCCCCTGTCGATAAAATCTCCATGCATAGTGACATATGAACAAAACCGCAAGGCATACGATGATTAACTCTAGACACTATTTCATATCATCACCCAGGGATTCAAATCTCAAAGCTAAAGGGATTAAGATACTGACATTTTTCATCGCGTCTTTCCGCCAAATTCTCTTAATCAACGACTGATCAAACTGATCAAAGATTTAACTCGCCCCTCCGTCCTAACCTGTATATAGAGACCGTGTCGGTCTTGATTTCATGTCAGTTGGTAACGATCGAATTCCTCCCCTTCCCCATGGTCTCTGATGCGTCTACCAACAGTTGACTATCTCGTTCGAGTCAACGACGAGTCTCCCTTCTTCCTTCATTGCCCGTGGGAAAAACAATTTTTATATCGCCTCGTGGGCTACATTGGTCTCTCTCTCTCTCTCTCTCTCTCCCCCCATCAGATTCGTCTGCGTGGTTGTCACTAGCAAAGGAAATGACGAGTATGGAAACCAAGAACCAGAGAGACAACGAAACCACTTGTATTCATGAATCATAGTATGCCTTCATGGACATCGTCATCTTTAATATATCCCAAAATAAACGGCAATAACATTTTCACAAACAGAAATGACATATACCAAACGAATAACAGCAACAACAACAGTAGAGAAAAGGACATAGGAACTGCCGCTGGCGGAAACTTAATTGTAATGCTTAAGCGTCCATCAGGGGAGATATGCAACAAGGAAGACAGGAAGAAGGCAGGCGGTTGCAGCAGAAGTAGTGTGTCAGCCGGTGTAGATGTGGACTCCGACGACGATGAGGAAGATGGTGAGGAGGGCGAAGAAGAGGACGGCGTGGACGAGGATGGAGATGCCGCTCGTCTGCATGTTGACGAACTCCACTACCCTCCCCTTTCCCGGCAGCTGGAACAGCAGCCCCGGCGACAACAGCACGAACAGCAGCACCGCCACCACCACCGGCCCCCAGTCCGCCATCTCGTCTACTATGCAAGCATCCTATAACAGCGTTTATAAAGAGGAGAGGAGACCGCAGAGGTCGCCAAGTCATGAGAAGCAGAATATTACGCCCTTACCGTGTGCCATGAGACGTAGAGAAGTGTGAGTTGTGGGTCCAGCAATATCCCCGATTCTAAAATAGGTACAAAAGGTGGGTACTCTAAAGAAGTGCCGTTGGCAAGCGTCTTTTTAAAAATTCTCGTCGTGGGGAATGGGGAATGGACGGCTCCAACTGACGAGGCTTCTTTGACCGACCACCGTGGCAACCAACACTGTGGGATTCCTTCCTCGGACACCCAGATCTTCACCTACTGCAGTCCCGAATAAGATTCTCTATTTAAATATTATATAAAGTTCACGCCGTCACCAACTATTTCTTATTATTTTTTTTATCTCTATCGGTCATCAGCATATTAACAAGTTTTCATATTATCCCAATCTTTCTATCTTAATTAGACCAAACGAAGCCATTTCATTCAATTGATTTGGTATAACTAATTATTCCTAATTTGGTATCAATTCCCGCTCCCGTTTGATTCGGACCAGGGTGTCATCTGATCCAGGTTTACAGGGTTTGATACAGATGGCTGGCTGCTGTTCGACGCCTCACAGCTTCTTCACCGACCTTCCATTTGGCAGGTACGCGAAGATGCCCTTTCCTATCTCGGCCACGCAGTAAGAAACACAGACGAAATCTACCCTTATTTATCATCCACATCCACGCATGTGGACCCACCGATCAAAGGATGGGTGGTCAGTGGTGTAAATAATTTGGGTAATACATCTCATGACAAATCACTATTCTTTTTACATTTTTTATTTGTCTTTATTTTGAGAATATTAATTAGCGGTCGCGGAGGCCTTACCGTTCCGTTTGAAACGGGATAAAAGAGGCGCGAAATAGAAAAGAAACCGTAACAGTTCACCTTCCGGTTCCCCTTGTTCTACCCGAGTCCCGGAACTCCTAAGCGCTCCCCTTCCCCCTCTTGCCGGCGATTGCAGGAGATTGGTACTTCCGATCTGCAATCGGGCCAACTGGGGATGGACGGCCAAGCCCATTCGAGGAGGAGCTCGTCGTTCAGCGGCTCACCTGCGAGGAAGAAGCAGCCGGAGATGGGGAGTTCCGACAGCGGTCGGAAGACGCCCCTCTCGCGTTCTTTGTGCGCTTCTGCCCTTGATTGTCTTACTTTAAGCGGTTTCTTCCCTACGTAGTACAACTTTTCTCTTTCGCGAAACGAATATTATTGTTGTGTTTGTTTCAATTATGTCAAATCGTTCTGATGATAGGTCAAGAGCATGTGTTGTTTGTCGATTAAACATTTCGTTCTTTTGATCATATGCTTCTACTGCTTAATAAATGCAATACGGTCCTGATGGCATTTTGATTTGAATTGTATCAAAGTCTTGAAGGAGATGATTGTTGGAAAACATTTTATTGGGCGATTTCGATTTAAATCCTAAATGCTTGCGGGAAGAGGTAGGATTAATGTTTGATCTTCATCATCGTCGCAGTTGGGGGTTATTGTATGACCTTGATTGTTCAGCTCTTTATTGACCAATTTCTGCATAAAACAGGTTATATGAATTAATTTCTTTTTCTTTGGCAAGAGAAAGATGGAGTGCCTCAATATATTCATATTTTTTATTGTAAATGGCATAAATGGGGTTATGTAGGATATTAGAATAGTAAAACCTATCTTAAAATTGGTGACATGAGGTTAATCATGTCAGTAGTTCTCCCTGCTTGCCACAGTATTAGACCGATTTATATGTTCAAAGCATTTCTCTGTCCGTTCAATCCAAATGTTCCCAGCTCAATGAAGGTAGACTATGTACCAAAGCCTTCTTTCAGTTCATGTATTTGCTCATTGAATACTTCTTTGTTGACAATTATCTATACGCCCCTATGATTGCACACTCTAGATGCAGTAATAGATTGATGCTTATATGTTCTTTTGCGGTTATTATTCATAAATCAGAACTTCTATTGATGCGTGTGGAGTAATTGAGGACTTTTACTGATGATGTTGACCACGTTAACTATTTTATCTATCAGTGTAATACATCCCTATGATTACTCTTGTTGGCCTGTTTATTCCTTTGGAGCAGGACTTTAACTGGTGAGAGAACTGTCAAGAGGCTACGACTGTCAAAAGCATTGACAATGCCCGACAGTACAACAGTGCTGGAGGCTTGCCGAAGGATGGCTGCTCGTAGGGTTGATGCTGCGCTGCTGACTGACTCAAATGCTTTGCTCTGCGGAATCCTGACGGACAAGGTTGATACACTATGTTTTCATTTATTACATACTGGAAACTAAGTCGTTTCTTATAGGTTGAGTGATGATTACATATTCTGTTAATTGAAGGATATAGCAACAAGAGTTGTTGCTTGTGAATTGACGCTTCAGGATACGCCAGTTTCGAAAGTGATGACAAGAAATCCCATTTTTGTTCTTTCCGACACTCTTGCAGAGGAAGCATTGCAGAAGATGGTCCTTGGTTCGATTGACCTAAAACCGTCTGATATTTCCTTGCTACCTCAAGCTAAATATTTTATTTCTTTTCTGCTTCTATTTTCAGGGAAATTTAGACATTTGCCTGTTGTGGAGAATGGTGAAGTTATTGCTTTGCTTGACATCACAAAATGTCTATATGATGCCATTGCACGACTAGAGAGGGCAGCTGAGAAGGGGAAAGCTATTCAAGCTGCTGTTGAAGGGGTCGAGAAAAACTGGGGAACATCTATATCTGGTCTGTGTTAGCAGAATACAAACAGCTGATTAGTTGATGGATGCAATTGTCAGATTGTTTATTGTGTTAGTTTTTTATTTATCCCTCAACTTCTTAAATACCTGCTCACAGAAATTTTTTACTGATTTTACTCCTGCCCAGGGCCTAGTACGTTCATTGAAGCTCTTCGAGAGCAGGTATTTCAGCCATCATTGTCAACAATTATCCAAGGAACTCAAAGTAGGTAATATCTTCTTCTGTAATTAGCCACATAAATGACAATGCATATACTATAGGTGATTTTTAAGATTATAGAGATATTTTTATTTAGTAGTGTCCTATGAAGAGCATATTTCTTATAGTGATGTTAATCTATCAGGGTTGTTACAGTCTCACCAACTGAGTCAGTTTTGTCTGCTACCAAGAGAATGGTTGAATTTCAAATGGGTTCGGCAATAATTACCATCGGAAATAAGCCACTTGGAATACTTACGTATGCCCTTCAATTCTAAATCTAAGGTCACTTTCCTTGAAGAACATCATCTTAACTATTAATTCTGCTGAGAGTTTGTTTTCCTACTGTTCTTCTGAATCAGTTCAAGAGATATTTTGATGCGTGTGGCTGCAAAGAATCTTTCACCAGATACAACTGCTGTAGAAAAGGTATGTGTTCAGTACTTTGATGTGGAGTTTTCCATCTTACAATGATTTTATATAAGCTTGTTGGATTAGTCCTGTATTTCTCTTGTCATCTCTGTGATTTCCAAGATGTCTATATATTAATAATCTTAATAACGTAGAACACGATAAACAAATGAGATCAAATGTTTAATAATCCGAGTATGCAATTCATTAGCAGGCATAACTACTTTGATCAAGTTAGAAATGCTTGGGATAAGAATAAGGTTATAGCTCTATACTCTTATTTCATGATTGTAATGAAATAATAGCTTTTGCATATCTTTGCCTAAACAAGGGATAAGAATATGGTTTAAATAATTCTGTATATTAACAGTAGAAGATAGACCACTGCACAGCCATCTGATAAAGAAATTTCCAATGTATATGTGAAACTAATTTAATTCTCATTTTTACAGATTTGTGTCTTTTTTTATAGAGAGAGAGAGTGGGGACTGTATCACCCAAAAAAGAGAACTTACATGAATAGATGATTTAAAATATCATTAAGTTTTGGGGATAAGTTAGGAATTTCAATGTGCCACCAGATCGTCAACTGTAGCCACTCTTTCTTTTATTTCTGAATATTATATTCTAGACTTTCCTCAAAAGGAAAAAAAGAAAGAAAATTATTGCCCATGTCAAACCAAGGATGAGTATACCATGTATGGAAAATGGCAGTCCTGCCATAATGAAGAGGGTTTTCAGCAACTAGGGAATTGTCTTGTGTCACCACCAGTAACCAGCAATTATATCTTCAGGTATAGTATTATATTAAATTTTTTCTCATAAGGTGGGTCTGTGGGAAAGAAATCCTGGGTTCGCAGCACAGGTACAAAGCACAATTTCATCTGCATACTAACTGTAACACACTATGTTGCATTGTGATCATTGGCCTATATGCTAGCAATAGAAGTTTGTGTTTCATTTAAAGCTTGTAGGATATTATATATTAGCCTGAACAGTGTAGATGGGATTCTCCTAATAACATATTTGTGTCTGGAAGTATGGTGGTCATGTTTCCAGTGCTTTTATTCCTGACACGTATGATTCTCATATTTAGGTTATGACACCGAATCCCGAATGTCGAAGCATTGATACCTCGATCCTTGATGCTCTTCACACTATGCGAGCTGGAAAATTTTTGCATCTTCCTCTGACAGACAGAAGTAAGCTATTTAATCTTCTTCCTACCCCAAAAAGGAGAAAGATGCTTTTGAAATATAGAATAATCCTTTTTGCTGTCTCTTACATCTTTTTGTTCATTGCAGATGGTATCATTGTCTCAGTGATTGATGTACTTAATATTACACATGCTGCATTGGCCACAGTAAGTTAATATGTATAATTTTACATAGGACATTCCTCTGACAGTTTGTTTCTTTCATTGATTGACTCACTCGACATATAGGTGAATTTCGATAGATTGCAAATCATATATCATTCTATTAGGTGCACGTGAATGTTAGTTTCTAGCCAGAGTACACGAGCTGAATAGTTCGTCCTATATATATATATATATGTATATATAGAGTATATATACATATATACATATATATTTATATATAT